CTCTTCAATAAAAACGCAACAACTCAGTTAGTTTTAATCTTATGTGCCAATTATTTAATTTACCTTTTTTTAACGAAAAAAGTGTTTAGTAATATAATACCCCAACATCGCATGAGATCGGACTCTCCATCCTTCCCCATCCTTGGGCCGTATCCACAGCCTCTCTTCAAGGAAAGCTTGCGGAATAGTTTCCCTCTCTTAATTTTCTTCTCAGGTGTCGGGGACGATGGCCAATTAGTGCTGTGCTGGTTGCTTCTTTTTCAGAAAGCCATTCATGGGTTTCTGTGACAATCTTAGGCTCACACTCCAGACTTCCGCGACCCACTAGGCTAAAACTTAGTTTGGTCTATTTTAGTATAAATTTAGAATCTGCAGAGATCATTTTCGACTTGACACTAATTCTATTAAAATTAGTGAGGTCGATTTTAGTTCATGCAAAGGCCAGTTAGGTTACAACAAAGACTTGTTGACTTGAAGAGTTGAGTGAGGAAAGGAGCGTTGTGTTGACCCAACTAATTTCATTCTCAAACCAATCAAATTCTTTGATTATTCCACCTCCGTCAATTTTTTGAACCCCACTTCTACTCCGGCCGTTCCATTTACGCCCTGCTGACGCGTTCAAATAAAATACTTCCTCCTGTCATAATTCTACACAAACGAAGTCTTGTTATTAAGACTGAAAAGTAGTGAATTAATTTGACTGACTTATCCCCATACCTCCCCAAAATACCAATTTTTTCCTAGCGACAATGATATGCCGTCGTCACTCGTCAGGACATTCACATTGTTTTTTTGAATTGAATTTAACTTTTTAGTGATTTGATTTTACACATGAGACTTTTATTTCTATTATTTATTATTTTGCCCTAAATTCATTTATATAAGTTATAAGTTAATATATAATATAGTGTTATATATGTAAACATTGAATTGAAGGAGATCATATCATATCTATTATAATTTATTTATTTATTTAACTCTCTTAATTTACTCAAATTAGTTATTATATTATCAATCAAAGAGAATATTATTTACCACTATTAATTAGAGAGGTTTTTTTTTAAAAGAAAAAAAAGTTCATTGCGAATATCCTTTTGGACATTTTTGTTTGGTATGTGTTACAAAAGTGCTTAACTTGGCTATGCATTGTTGTATTGGATTTAGCCATCCTTTACTTACACAAATTTATAATTATCAAGAGGATTATTGATGATGACTCCTGCTTCATAACCTTATCTTAAACCTGTTTTCTCCTACTAACTTTATCAAAAGGAAACACAGCCAACTTTAACCCTACGTTTGGTGGAAAGAGAATGAAAGGAAAGAAAGTTGAGAAAAATTTTAATAAACTTAATTTAAAAAGTTAAAAAAAAAAGACCATTTCTCTCATGCCAAGTAGGATTAATATTAATATAAAAGTGATTTCAATAAATCAAAGTTGAGATAAAAGTTGATTAGTGTAATGTGTCATTTATATTTGGATAAACTTTTATGAAAAAATATTAATTTTAAAAAGGTTTGAATAAATAATATATTAAAAATTTAATTTCAGAAAATTCAAATTTAAAAAATGACGTAACTTTAGTTTCACTTTTGTTCGCAAAAAATTTTAAAATACCTTTTACTCAGAAAGCAAATTGCCGCTAAAAACATGTTAAGCATCCTTTTGTTTCTCATTCAATTAGTTTTTTCTCAACTGATCTGTGAAGCTTCATAAGGCTATGCCAAACATGCATTGTAACAAGACAAAAGGGCGTCACACACATGTATATCACTACATAAGTCTCTAATTATCACGATATGATACGAGTATACTTATAATTAGTGTTAAGTCATGCTCGTCCACAGAAAACATAACAGCTTCAAGATTCTTTGATTTAAAAAAAGGGGATATACAACTTTTCGTCCCTCAGATTTAAATCCATTTAGGTTTTAGTCCTTGAAATTTGAGATCCGAGATATTGGTTCTTGAAATTTATTCCGTCACAAAACGTTAGTTTTTGGAAGTCAGATGCCGTTACACTTTACTGAGTTGGCACAAATGATGTCACTGTGATGATTTGGCTTCTTACTTAGTCACATGGCATGGGGAGTTAAATATCTGACTGCAAAAATTAAAAAAAAAAAAAAAGAAAGAGAGAGAGAGAGAAGGGCCTCTGCAGAAGTTATGCCACGCCTCCAGCTTCTGTTCCTCGCCTTCAGTAAGCGCCTCGTACATAGAAGTTGCAACGCTTCTTGCAGCTTCTCTCATCTCCGGTAGCCTATCATTCAGCAGATCAGCCGCCACTTTGATCATCTCTCCCAACCCAAACTCCCCCATTTCCTCGAGCCCCTGATGGTGAGGTCATGTCATGTAATTTTTGAAGTAGAGGAAGAGGGGTTATTGAAGCCACCATTGAGGTCAGAGCCTTATCTGCCTCTTCACACACAAACCATTTGTCCTGAGACGCTTTTAGCAGCAGCTGCAGAAGCTGTTAAGATTCGACCCTTCAGTTAACCGCAATCCATCCATTCACAATATTAATAAACGGAAGCAAGATCATGGGAAAGGAAAGGGAGTCACACCAGGCTGTCAAATGCATCAGAGGTGGAGGGATCCAGCAATTTATCACCAAAGGATTTGAAAATATCAGAAGCAGCCATAATAGAGGTTTTGCACAGAGCACTTCGAGGATTTTTCATTGCCTTGGCCACCACCGACGCAACTTTCCCCCTGTTTCACAATTTCAAATCATATATTTCAAGAAACCCAAATATACATGCCTATACTAAAATGGACAACGTGCGCTGCGAAAAATTGTGAATGCACGACCCAGACCAGAACAGGTTACTTGCAGTTCTGGGAATAGAAGAGAGAAGTGGTACAACTTCTATGTCATTTTGAACAGAGGCCCTTCAGTCTCCCTCTTTTTTTGTTTTTCTTTTTTTTAATTTTCCTAGTAAGATATCCAGCTTCCCATGTTATATGCCCAAGTTAGAAGCCAAATCATCATAACTGATACCGTTTATGCCAACTCAGCCAAGTGTAACAGTGTCTGACTCCCAAGGACTAATGTTTGCAACGGAGTAAATTTCAGGAACCAATATCTCGGGTCTCAAATTTCATGGACCAAGACCTAAATGGACCTAAATTTGAGGGATGAAAAGTTGTATTTTCTCCACAAAAAATTAAACAAACATAAAGCGCATTAATTGGCTGAATAACTTTTTGACACAAATTTAATAAAATCTTGCAAAACATGTATTAATAGGTTGAAAACAAAACATGATATTAAAGAGCCGATCTTTATCTTTACTATGTTAAAAAGTGACCGTCATTAACTCTTTTTTTAAATTTTCCCAAAAAAAGAAAAAATTGGTAAAAAAATCATTGTTTGAAAATTTAATTAGCTAAATAGATTTGAATTTGAGCAAGTATAATTATAATTCATGAGCATAACATATCTTCTACTGTATGCAGCATATTATTAATGATGCGCAACAATTATCAATACACAAGTCACTAGAACACAGTGAAAGATATGCTACACATAGTGAAAGATATGTTGCACTCATTAATCATACTTGTACACGTTCAAATTCAGGTTTTTTTCAGCTAATTAAATTTTCAAAAACAAAATTTTAACCAGTTTTTTCGCAAAAACAAACTGCACCATTGATGTGCTTGCCTTGTGGGTGACCGCTGATATTGAAGTTTTCTGGGACCCTCGTACCGCTACATTATTGAAGGTTTTTGTTTTGTTTTGTTTTTTTGCCAGTAGGATTTAGCAATTCTATTAATGGCTTGAGAGGATAGTCTTACTAAATTTTTCTTTCTGCCAATATATACTTTAAAGACAAATTATAGCTAAAATAAATAGTCCTGAAAATAGTTAGTATAATCTAATAAACGCGTAAATTATACGCCTCGGTTGTATAATGAAGTTTGAAAGTGTTTCAAAAGCCCCGATGGGCACGTTACTACCACTTGTACAATAGCACTGAGCAAGATTATCAATCAAATGATGCAAATACAATGCATTTTCTACTTTCAAATAAATTCTAAGTTGAAGGTTAAGACTTATAGATCAGTTAATACGTTAAAGGATTTAGTTAGATCCCTTACCCTCATTTTATTTTTTATATGCATCCAACACTTTAATTTTTTTTTTTTGGCATTTAACATCCTAATTTTATTTTAAATCCCTCAATTATTTATAATTCACAACCCGTGCAACGCATTTTCTAGTTTAGTATTAAATGACACTAAAAATAACACTAAAATGCTAGATGCACCAGAAGAATAAAATTAAGGTACTGAATGCATCATAAATAAAATTATGATGTTAGGTACATCATGAAAAATAAAATTAGGTGCTGAATCCACCTTTACTATACTTTAAAAAGATTTTTTTTTTTTGTATAACTCAGAGTATTTTCAAATTACTTTAGACTTGATATTAAGTTCTGTTGGGTCAGGAGCGTTAAAGAAAGCCTTCCCAATAGATACTCTACCTAATATTTAAACTTGTGTTATCTTTCTTGTAAGGATGAGATTATTTACCATATTAACTTATAGTTTATTAGTTTGATATAATATTTGATCTCTCAAATTTATTTTGATTTTGGTTTTGATAGCTCAAATTTCAAATAAGTTTTTTGGTCGCTTAAAAAGCAAAATAATCAAAAATTTTATTAAATTATAAGGATTAATATTTTAAATAAAAAAATTTAAGAAACCAAAATTAACAACAAATTTAAGAGGCTAAAATTTGTATTCAACCTCCTTCATTTCTTTAATTTGTTGACTCCTCGAATTAAATTATAGCGTATATTTAAAAAAAATGAAAAAAGAAAGTAATAAGGAGGACCAATAAACTTTGCCCTTGACATTTGACCCGTTCAGCACTCGGATTGGAAGCTTGATAAAAAAATTCCAGCAGTGGAGCCCAGTGCTGCAAGTATTCCACACGGTTAGCCGCTATAAGAATTATCAAACGAGCAAACACTCACATAGGAAGCAGCCTCATCTTCCCCCTATCCTCGCCTTCATCTTCCTTTGTTAATGGCTCTCCCTCCTGCAAAATCACACCTCTTACTCTTTTCATTATTCTCCCTTCTCTTCATCATCCATGCCAAAATTGATATCGATCCTTCAGATCTCAAAGCTTTCTTGGCTTTTCAGAAGCAGTTGGGTTTCAACGGTCAACTCCACCCGTTGACCGCACACCCATGTAACACCGACGGTGTTTTCTGCGAGAGGAGGCTTTCCAGTAATGAGAGCTATGCTCTCAGAATCACCAGAATCATCTTCAAGTCTAAGAAGCTTAATGGTGTCCTGTCCCCAGCGATTGGGCGTCTCTCTGAGCTCAAGGAGCTTTCTCTTTCGGACAACCAACTCGCGAGCCAGATTCCACCTCATATAGTTGACTGCCGGAAGCTGGAAGTTCTTGACCTCGGAAACAACCACTTCTCCGGCGAGGTCCCGTCTGAATTGTCCTCCCTCATTCGCCTTCGAGTCCTTGACATATCTTCCAACAAATTTTCTGGGAATTTGAATTTCTTGAAGTATTTCCCCAACCTGGAAAGTCTCTCCGTGGCGGACAATCTCTTCACGGGGAGAATTCCGGCGTCTATACGTTCATTTCGCAATCTCCAACGGTTCAACTTTTCTGGGAATCACTTCCTTGAAATTCCCGGGCCATTGATGAAGAGATTTGGACACTCAGCATCTGATATCCCCAGAAGATACATCCTTGCTGAGAATTCAGCTCCAACAACAAGTGAGGGAACTTCTGCTAATGCTCCAAAATCCAGTAGGAACCATTCTAATCATTCAGGGGCTCAAGCTTCTCCAGCTCCAGCTCCAACAGCGCATCACGAACACAAGGAAAAAGGAGGAAACTAGGTGGGTGGATTCTCGGATTCCTAGCAGGAGCATTCGCTGGGAGCATATCGGGGTTAATATTTTCTTTGCTGTTTAAGTTGGCCGTCGCTGTGCTCAAAGGTGGAGGGAAGAGCACAGGCCCTGCAATTTATAGTCCATTGATTGCAAAGGCAGAGGACTTGGCTTTCCTGGAGAAAGAAGATGGAGTGAGTTCATTAGAAATCATTGGAAAAGGTGGCTGTGGAGAAGTTTACAAGGCTGAATTACCAGGAAGCAACAAACTTGTTGCTATAAAGAAGGTCAAGCAACCTCCAAAAGATGCAGCCGAACTGTCTGAAGAAGACAGTAAGATTCTGAACAAAAAAATGCGTCAAATTCGCTCGGAGATCAACACGGTTGGTCAAATTCGACATCGAAACCTTCTACCTCTGCTAGCTCACGTGTCAAGGCCGGATTGCCACTACCTTGTATATGAGTACATGAAGAACGGAAGCTTACAAGATGTGCTGAATCAAGTTCAAGCAGGCGTAAGAGAGTTAGATTGGTTAGCACGTCACAAGATTACAGTTGGCGTAGCAGCTGGCCTCGAGTACCTTCACATGCACCATACTCCTCGTATAATTCACAGAGATCTCAAGCCCGGAAATATTCTTCTTGATGATGATATGGAAGCTCGAATTGCAGATTTTGGGCTTGCAAAAGCAATGCCAGAAGCTTATACCCATGTCTCAACTTCAAATGTGGCGGGAACGATGGGTTACATAGCACCAGAATATCACCAAACAATGAAATTCACTGACAAGTGCGACATATACAGCTTCGGGGTTGTTCTTGGCATCTTGGTGATGGGAAAGATTCCATCTGATGCGTTCTTTCAGGAAACAGAGGAGCTGAGTTTGGTGAAGTGGATGAGGAATGTGATGACTTCAGCCAATCCTACTAGGGCCATTGATGAAAAGCTCTTAGGCAATGGATATGAAGAGCAGATGCTTCTGGTTCTCAAGATTGCTTGCTTTTGTACTCTTGATGATCCCAAGGAGAGACCTAACAGTAAGGATATCAGATGCATGTTGTCCCAAATCAAACACTGATAGTGCTCCTACGCTCCTGAAGAATGTCGAATAATAGCATGTAATGCTTTTGTTATAAAGTGTCTATGATCACGCTAGTCTACCTTTAGTAGGTGTGTTGTGTCAAACGCAAGACGACACTGTAAAATATACAGTTTCTGATTACATAATGTAAGATATTTCTGTGTCTAAATCCTGGTAAATCATCATGTATTGTCCAGCTTTTCTATAGAATTCATCTGGACTTTGTTATGATTAAGAACAAGAAACAGCCCCTCGCATTTCGAGTGTTTACTTTTTCAGTGCGTCAGTGAGTGCTAAAACTGACAGAATATTCCTAGAGTGAAGCTAAAGGGATGTTCCTGTGTTAGATCTTGAGAGTTAGGACAGAAATAAAGGGGAAGAGAAGAGAAAGAGAAAGATAAGGGGGGGGGAGAGCCTAGAACCTAGAATTTTAAAATTCTAGGAGAAGAGGAAGTTTAAGGCAAACTGAATAATGCTTTTCATTCATCTCCCCTTTTGGCAGAATACATGTATGATATTTATATTATGGTACATAAACTGAAAATAACTACCTTATCCTATTCATATAGAACTAACAATGATGTAACCAACGTTAGACACTTGTAACAGTTAACATAAGACACATAATAAAACATAAAACACAAAACATAATAATTCACTGAACAATAAACTAGTAAAGGCCCCTGTTTCCTATCATCCTGAGTTCTGAAAAGTATGGTACTGAGAATAATAAAGTGTTGGATCTGACAGGAGATGAAAAAGGAATACTAAAAAAGGAGGAAGATACGGGAGATGGGGAGAGAGATAACTCCCCAGCAATTGACAAATTTGAACCAACTCGTCAGCCTTCCACTTCCTCTTCTCAGTATCTTCCATTAATCAAAACTATTAATTAATAGTATCAGTCTATCTAGTTCTGCCGGCACCAACTTATAAGGATTAGCGTTCTGCTATAAACTTGTACTACCATTCACGATAGGGTGAAGCAAATTAAAAGTAACATACTAGCAGATTTGGTTTGTGATTTTCTCTGACTTAAAATCTGAGGATTTTTAAAGTTATTTGGGGTTACAGGCATATCTTGCTCCTAGGCTAGGTCAATGTACTGCGAAATGTGAGAGATACGACATTTATTTCATTAGTGAGATGTTTGATGTAGAGATTTTTCTGTTTTAATTTTAAAGCCAAAAAAAAAAAATAAATAGTTTGTCTTGGAAGATCGTTTTAATTTTTCTCGATGTTTTTAATTTACCAAATGCGGTTATATTGTCTGAAGTTTATACCAGTAGCTTCTGCAATGAATTTTAGATTGGCATTGGCTTATATTGTGGGCATCTTTTTATTTTAGGTCCTTATGGTGAATTTTCAAAATGTGTTTTCATTGTCCTCCTGAAGGCAAAAGCTCAGTTAGGTTCATGTTTGTGCTCGCATATATCTCATTATTTTGAATCTTTATTTGTTTCCCACTGTCAAATTTGTTGATAGAGTGGAATCACACCTGAATAATATAAATAACAATCATGGCTCATAAAATGATCTTAATTTGGCACGGCTATTTGTGTGTCAACTTTAACACTACTTACCCTATTGTATGATTGAAGGAGGTTTGCTAATCAAACGATTTTACTGTGGCAGCTAGCAACTTTTGTGTCTGTTTCAATGAGAAATTATTCCTTGCTGCATAATGTCACACTGACAGAATAAAAAATCTAATCTAATACTCCTCCGGTCCTTATTATAAGACCCCATTTGACTTTTTATTTGGTCCTAATTATAAGACCCTAATCCATTTTGTCTCTTATATTTATGCATTTTTTTCAAGATAATCCTTCTAATAATGATAGTTTTAGCCAATATACTTAATTAGCAAGGATATTTTAGGAATGACAACACTTATTTATTATAAATAACCAACTTAACTTACTTCCTTAATCTCCTCAAATAAGTCAATTGGGTCTTATAATTAGGACCGGAGGAGTATTAGAAATTAACAAGCAAGTCATATGACAGAACTCATCCGCTTCAAAATATTCTAACATGGATGCTCATGAAGCGAAAAATCAAGGATTGGTGGCTCAAAAGGCTGGTTGGTAGGTTTCTTTTGTTAATAGCATCATATTGTTGATTGCTCCAGTATCTCTTAAGACAGAAAATTATGAATCTAATGTGTATAAGGCCCATGCAATGGAGAAAAAGGAGGTTAAATTTATTGTGTTCTAGAAAGCATGTCTGCATACGAAAATATGTGTAAGTTCTCAAATGGCTAGGAAATCTACAAGAGTAGCTCTCTGTCTCAGTCTCAGTCTTTGCAATAGCAGAAGGGTGGTGAACAGACTCTTGCAGGTTTGTGTCAAACTTCATTTACCAATGGGTCAACAAATACAAGTGGCGAATTCCCAAATCGCAAGCCACATTTAATGTCGTGAAATAAATATCAGAAGTTGACTGTTCTTTTTTTTTTTTTTTTGGGGGGGCCTAATGCCCAATGTGCAGTTACGTCGAACTTTCTTTCTGAGGGAGTAGACTTCACGGCCATTGACCTCGTCGCATACACGCACCCAGTTTGAAAATGCACATCACAAGGGTCGCTGTGCAGGCCCTACCGCAGAAATTGTATGTTAGAAAATCCAATGAGGGATGAAAACTTTAGTCGGGTCTGTCATCGTTTTCATACTCTTTACAAGTCAAATTAGCTGTATAGAAAATATTTAATCGCCATAACATAACTCTTTCTCTCTGCAAGAGTCTACGAATAAGGGGGAAATCATCCGATTGAATCCGATCTAAGAAATGAATGATCCAGTGCGTAAAACACGCATGTAAAAGAAGAAGGGGGAAAAATTAAAAACAAAAAGAAATTGACTTTTTCAGTAATAATAATAGGAAAGGGCGGAGGCCATCGAAGTTTGACGGTGAGGAATTTAACAATTTTCAAATGCCATGACAAGCAGCCCCTATAGCTCAGTGGTAGAGCGTCAGTCTTGTAAACTGAAGGTCTGTAGTTCGATCCTGCATGGGGGCAAATTTTGTTTTTCTTCTGAAGCATCAGTATTCTGTATTCTTGTCCCTTTTTTTTTCCCGAGCGTATTATTATTCTCATCTGCAACATCATTCTGTTTCATTATGTATATCTCCGTTTCAACTTTCAAAAACAAGATCAGAAAGATGATACTTTGGGGAAAAAAATAAAATGAGAACTATTCTCTTTAAGAACTCAATGAAAATAAATGAAAGGATTAAACTAAGTTGTAATGTCTGATATTTTTGCTATCAGATATTTCAATTAAAAAAAAGACAAATCTATACTTTAATTAGATAATCATGTAACTAGATATAAACTAGAGATTTGTCATCATATGAAAGATCTATATGATTATCGCGTTTAAGTAAAAATTTTGATAAGATATACGATATCATTAGATTTTTTTTGGGTCAAATACTATATCATTATTCATTAGATAATTCTCACTTTCTTTTGTTGAAGATGATTTTTTTTTTTTTTGGGTTGAAACAATTGGTGAATGAGTAAAACAGTATGATCCGCCCTTTGATGGGCTGCAATTTTTTGCCAGGCCGGCCCTTGGAGGCGTCCTGCTGCTTGCCTGTAACAAATACGGCGTCGGTTTTGCCCTTAGCTCCTGAATTTTACCTTCATTAAAAGGGGTGATCCACTGATTGCGTCTGCGAATTCTGAGCTAAATCCTTCGACCTTCGTCTTCCCTTCGACCTTTGTCTATAATTATTCAAATTCGCTGCTTAAATGGCTAGCCTGATACACAAGATCTCCAGAAACTCAACGCCATCTTTTAGAGTACTATCAGCTATTAAACCGCCAACAATTCTGAGACGCACTGATTCTCCAATCCCCCTCGAAACCCTTCCGGGCACACGCTTACCGGATCCCACTAGCAGCGCAGCTTCCTTTTTGAGTCTTTCGGACTACAAGCCGAATTCTTCTCAAAGCTTGGGCTTCCAATTTTTTCCCTCTTTCCCGTTTGGGTTTTGCTGCAATCCCGTTGTTTCGGCTGAGTCCGAAAATTTTGGGGGGGCTGATACTCCGCGAATTGAGGATGATGATGCACGGACGATTTGGGCGGATAGTGTTAAGAGGAAGAGGAAGCGAAAAATGAACAAGCACAAGTACAAGAAGCTTAGGAAGCGCCTCCGCCGTAAGACTTGAATGGTCCGCTGTGCATACTGTGTTCTAACTACTAATTGGAAGGTTGTTTCACTTTTTTTAAATTTTTTGAGGCTCTTTTTTCGGAATATAATTTATTCCCTTTTCAGGGTAAGTTATTGACGATAAATTTGAGATATTTCAGCATTATTTTCTGTATGCTAGAGTGTCGCTTTATTTCTTCAGTATAGTAGCAACGAGAATCAATATTCACCATTCAACGTAGTGCATTCACCTCAGATCAACGCCTGTGTAGTTTGTGATTAAAATTGGATTGTGCATATTCTTCTGCTGGAAAATTCTTTATGCACTCAACCATTTGGGCAGATTTGTGTGTTAGCCTTTTTGCTGCACTGCGGTACCCAGAAATTTCCATATATAGACAAGTATGGAAGTAGCTATGCTAACAAGTAGTTTAGGCTGTGGAATGTGCCCAAGTAAAATGTTGACGCCATCCAATTTGAGCTTCAGTATCTGGTGGAAAATGGATGGGCTTTTTGTGAATAACATGCCTTTAAACTAAGAGGACGTTGAACTAACATTTTCAGTATTTTCGAGTGCATTCTATCACTCACGTAGATGTAGTCTATTGCTTTTTTGTATTTAAAATGTTGTTATGCTCACGGTACTGGCATAGACTTTGTAAAACGTTTGGAAGTTGATCAACCAGACTGGATGTTGAGAATCTGGGTGGCCTGACTCATAAATTATGGTTCAAAATGCATAATGGCTGAATAAAGAACAAGAACCTAGGCAAGGCTAGAAGAAGCAGCAGCGGCCGCCCAACGATGATAGAAAACCCTTTTTTCAGATAGGTGAACCATGTCTTATGTTTTAAGAATTCCCTGAAAAAATGGAGTATGCATGTTATTTGACTTCCAATATTGTGTTCTGTTGTGCATGCTCAGTGCTGGCTTCGTATGGTGCCTCCTTTATATTGCTGAACTTTGTACTATTTCTGATTAGGTAGGCCATACTCATAAGCTAACAAACCAATGTAAGGGTTAATTTAGCCAAGACTTTGTCATATTACATAACAATTCACTTTTATGTTCTGTGCATCCCTTTGGCCGATCGAATTCATTTGCGGTGG